AAATTGCTCGAAATGAATTATTGCTAACAAAATAACAGGGTGGGTATATAATAACTACCGGGAAAAACCGGGAAAATCTGGAATTCTCAGGGAATTTCATTTTTACCTTTGAAAATCATGGATTCTCATGGAATTTTACTAATACGCAGGGAAATTTTTTGAATTTTACTTTTAAATTTAATATTATCTCTTTAGAAAGTAAACGTGGCCCCATATCGAAGGCCCCTGATATTGAAAGTTAATTTATTTTAAAATTGACATATACTATATAAAGACTCTTTAATCTTAAAAAACGATAATCTAGAAATAATAAATCAGGCATTAAGAGTCTAATAACGCAGAACTTGGAAACAATTTAATCTTCACATATGTAGTTACATCTCCATACAAAATCTTTCGTTACGTTCGAAAAATTTTGTATGGTGATGTAATTATTGTACATGAGAAGATTAAATTGTTTCACGTATCAAGTTCTATGCGTTATAAAACTCTTAGTACCTAATTTATTTTAAAGTATATTTATTTTGATGTATTGAAAAAAAATTCTCTAATCTTACCTTTTGAGTAAAATTCTTGGAAAATCCGGGAATTTTCAGAGAATTCTTTTACAAAATTTGAGTACCCACCCTGAATAATTAATTTTATTACTTATTTGATTTTGAGATATAATTATTTTTTGGCAGGTAAATTCTAAGTAAAAAGGAACATTATAGATACATTTCTAATCGAATTAGAATGAAATATAATGAAATCGCGTTTTTAAATGTATCTTGTATCCACTCCAGCCAGTGGGCGGTGCATCTGGACAATTTTAGGATGTCTGTCGCTTTATTTGGGCAACGATACGGAACACGCATCAGTGAGACTCGGAAGCAGCTAGGCGACCTTTAACGCTAAATGTCGGTTATGTCGGCGTGAATTACGGGTCAATAACTCAATGCCGGATCTATGCCTCTATACGTTTCAGCGTTTCGCGCATTGTATTTTTTGCGCGGAAACTGAAAATGAGTCGATTACGCCACGCATGAGCCTTATAAATAATTTGAATGCGACCTAGATTCTTCCCATTACCGTCATTGAATCTTTTATCACTGCTCATAGTCTCGCGTTAGCTTTTCCCGTTTTTTTTTTAATTCGATCAATAATAATTGCGCGAAGAGATTGCTTCGTATGGCATTTACATATTTCATCAGGTAGAATAATATTTTTACAAAATAATTATCTGAGCAAAATGAATATTATATTAATTTGCTTAAGTGCAGAATTCGTCTAAAGAGAAATTATGTCTAAAAATAAAATGAATATATATTACATTATTCTTCACAGAATAACGTACAAACAGACTTTCACATTATTCTTGATGCATATTACTTTTTAAAAAAGTGAAGGAAAAAATGGAGACATGCTTTTACATATACATGTATTCAAAGATTCTTTCTCGAAAGTTGATCAGACATGCTATTGAAAAACAATATAAACTCGATATGAAAATATATTTAAAAGTGGTCGATATCGAGGATATAAATCCTTCGAGTTACATTCAATTGGAGTCACATAGCAAGTCGCGTGGGATGTTCTACGAACTATAACTAGAGCAGATAAAATTCGCTTGCCATTGTCTATACTTATTTACGTGTATTAATGTGATAGCGATTTATCATTATCGATAATATAAAAAAATATATAAAAGCATTTTTTCTCTCTTTACCGCGTAGATTTTATCTTCTAAAATTCTAAATGTTTAATTTGGCCGAACATTTATTTGTATTAGATTAGAATTGCATTTCTAAAGTCTATATATGATCGGATTTAATAAATATTATTAACGTTATAATTAAATGTTATTATTAAATTTTTATTAAAAAGTAATGTGTCTGAATGTATTGAATTCTTCTTTTTGGTGAAACGATACATCCAGATAGGAATACACCGACCTTCTAAAGTCGATTTAGCATGAAAATAACGTCAATTCTGCGGAAACGTACCACAATACCTAGGTGTGTCTGCATGGTATGCATACGCACAAATGACTCATCAAGTTTCATTGAATACCTTGAAATGTAATTTTTTTACATTAATGTATATGCAATTATGAAAAAGATTAATTGCAATGTCCGAGTTGAAATAAAAATATCAGCGGTTCTATATGTGAATATGTGATACATTTTTTATATAATGCACTTATTGCAAAACCGATTTACAAATGTTAATTTTACTTTAACTTAATTATCTTGATATTATTTTTATCGAAAATAAAATGAAATGTCATTGTCTTTCACGTGTTGACTATATTTAAATATAAATGACATCATAAAAATTAATAAATTTCACAAAGATAGAGGGGAATAATTCGGGTAATCCGAAAGTTTTTTTTTTTAACGAGTTTTTAGACAGGTAATATTAATTTTGTAACATATTGAATAATTTTTGCTTTTATAAATTAATGTAATCATTCTGTACTTTTCGTCTTCTTATCGAATTAAATATCGAAATTCTGAATTAAAATATACTAAAACCAAAGTATATATATATCACTTATATAAATAGGTAAATAGAAATATGTCAACTGTGGGTTCCAGACTCTCCGTGCGTTAATTTTTTATCTCGGGCAATTGCGTGCGGCCATTTCAGATGTGCACCACTCCAGGGAGCTGGGGGATCCTTATGCATTATTAAAGCCGTGTATTTCAAATGTGCGCAATTTTTTTCTAAAACTTCTCTGTAAAAGAACGTGCTTCATGCTCCCTTCATCACATAAGCGACGACAATATCATACACATCAGTGTTTCTGGCCACGTAAGCGGTGTGTAAAATTCCCGGGATAGCATTACATAATTGGCAATTTCCCGTAGATGAATGTATACTTATGAATGAAAAAAGATATTTTTATTTTATTATTTTTAGCGGAATATTTAACGTGAATGCTTTCGAAGAAAAAAGTATTTCTGGATCGTCTGAATTTTTCTCGCAATCTTTGTGAAATTTATCAACTTGTGATTTCTTTAACGTAATCAACGTGTGTAATAACATTTTATTTTATAATGAATATCCAATAAATCAAATATCGAGGCAATTAAATATATTAGTAAGGATGCAATGCAACAACAATATGTACAGGGAGAAACAATGTAAAACGCGTTTATATTAAATTATTTATTGAAATGATACAAATTGAATCATTGAACTTCGCTTTACAATAAAATATTCACGTAAAGAGAACGTAATAATTTAGTAATAATTGATGCTGATAAAGATATATATGTTCGTAACTATGTACGTAAAAATAATTATTCGTAACTCATTCAATATGACGTGATTGTGAGTAACAACGCGAAGGTAATGCGTTTATTTTATAATCGCATTCTGTTTCCTCGCAGCTGGCAGTGTTCCGATTAAAAGAATACACATAAAAAATTGTAACAGAATACATATATCCAATTTTTCATATTGTTAAATTAATTAGAAAAAAAGGTTTTTTTCCGTTTTGAATGGAATCTGAATTAAAACTTTAAGAGATGTGGTAAGAAATAGAATTAATTAAAAAATTGGGTGGTAAACTTTTATTGATATTATAAAAAATTCAGAAATTCTAAGAGACAATACTTGGAAAATATTTTCTGATGAATCATTTTACACAGGATAGGCCGATACACCGTGATATAATCTAGTCACGGGCAGACAACTGTTCCGGTGATAAATAATGAAATATATGTTACTAGGAAAATACGGTACCTACTATACGTACGGTTATCATTGTTGTATTATATTGTAAAATTATACTATCTCATGCATTATTTTACGAAGAGTTTGGCTGGAAATATCGTCTTTCTGTAAAAAGGTATTATTTTATGTTTTAATTGATAAATATTTGCTTTGAACTGAGTAAAATCATATAGTATCTTATAGTGTTGCAAAAAGTAATTACCAACTACTATTCCGTTAAACTAAACAAAATATTCTAACTCTAAAAACTTTTAAATCTGATTTTCTGTGTCTTCGATCTCTTGAAAGAAACAAGATAATTTTTCTAGTATATGATAACTGTGATATAAGAGAGTAAATGATTCTTTATATATTTACATTTTTAATTCCGAAGTTTTCGCCGAATCTGAATTATTTTTCCGAAATTTGGATGATTAATTTTAATCATGAATGTGGTTAACGGACTGAAAAATAACTGTTTAATTGAATTTTTAAAGTGCAATTAAACAACATTATTTTGTTTTCAAAGTAATTTCAATTAATAATATAAATTAATATTGAAAATGCAATGGGAGAGTTAGCGTTTCAATAAATCATTTGCTAAAGATATTAAAATTCCATTTAAAGAATCAGCTTTTCATTTACGGAAGAATTCATTCAAATTAAAACGCGATATTATTTATGAAATTGTATAGTTGTAGAAAAATTCTCCGATAAAAACGTTCTTAGAAAATTTCTTAATTTATCTCGGAGAAATAGTTATATATTTGAAAAGACTAAATTATAATTAAACCTTTCACTACATTTGCTTCGATTTTTACTTGCGCAATTATAAATAAACTAGGAAGAAACCAGCATGTATCGTACTAAATAAAACAGTTTTTTAAGTTTCTTAGATTATTTTGAAAAAAACACGCACGAAAGTACTAAAATAAATATCGATTGATATGGCGAATCTATATAAGTCAATTCATTATTTGATGAGAAAAGCGAAGGATTTTGATTATTTAAACTCAAGTACGAAGGTTCTCTCTCTCTCTCTCTCTCTCTCTCTCTCTCTCTCTCTCTCTCAAAAAAAAGTTTCTAAAAATTTACACTTAAAATTTTTGTTGATTTAAATGTTATATAAATTTTTTTTGGTATTAATTTATCGACGAGAACGCCCAGTGCTCTCAACTTCACCGGCTTCACGTACTCGGGTATCCTTTTATTTATTTGTCAGGAGACGGACGTCGCTGCGCATGTGGAGCGTCCTGGCCTGCGCGGGCTGCATCGACCCTCAAACCCATTTCGTACTCTCCAGCAGTACATGCCTAGCCGGATCCCACCGTGCCGGGAATAATCGGGAAATAAGTGAAACGATATCGAATCTGCACGTCGAGTTCACCGATTTAACAATTCGCCGAAGGAAACAAGAGATAGGGAGAAAGAGAGAGGGCCTGCGTCTTTGATAAGGCGAAAAGGGAGCCGCGGACATCCGAGCGAGCGCATTTCTGATTACGTTATCTGCCTTACCAGAGTATATGCACCGATTCTACTTTTGTTAAACTTATTTTTTAAGAGTATCGCTCGTGCAAATGATTTAGAAGTTAAATAATAAGCAAACCACACAGATTCGGTCTCGCGAGAGTGGCAAAAAAAGTTTTATGACATTTTGTGCGTGCGTTAAAAAGAAATATTTAAAATTCGCCGGTCTTGCTGCTCAGCAAGATTCTTTGTCGCTAAAGAGACAAAATAATAATTAAAAACTATTATTGTTTTGTCTCGCTTCTTGCATTTTTCTCTTCATTCGTCGATCATTGCTGCTTTGATTATTAAGAATTAGATACCATGCTAAATGTAATACCGAAATTGAGTTTGAGTTACGAATTATTTTTAGACATTATGCACAAATAATTTGAGTTTTGTAGCGTAGTTTTATAGCAAGTTGTTATAGCGTATTATAATTTAATATTTATTTAATTTATTTTATATTTACTCGAGTAATGGGTGACTCGTGGATAATTCGTTATTTACGACTTGACAGAGACGGGCCTTAAATTCTTTCACTACGCTGTAAACTGTCCGAGAAGTGTTCTTCCGTTATGTCACAAGATATATTAAATAATAAATTTTAATTCATCCAAGAGAGATTAAATGATAAATATTTTCCGCGATCCAAACCATTTTAATTATCACAAAGCGTATTTGATACAATTTCTATCATCCATTAAACCGTCGTTAATTATTAAAATAATACATATTGTATTTTATTTCACTTGTTTTAAAAATGTAAACTCGTTTAATGATGGAAAAATTAATGCAGATATAATGGATTTAACGAGAGATGCTTGGCAAATGTTATTTTAAGCGAATTTATCCCTGACGAATGAATTTATTTTATTTCGCTGAAATCGCTATCCTCTTGTTTTTCCTCCTGCACGTAAATGGTTTAGCAACAACTTTCGTTAACATTTGCGAGCTTCTTATATTCGAGCTGCGTTGTATATAGGTCAGTAATTTGCCTGATAATAACTTGAAATTTTTACGACGCAGCAATTCTGATGGCGCGAGTCAAGTGTTCATCGGTCACAGTCCGTGAACAGCATTGACATTAAGATAGTGCATAATGAGCCAATTCTTTAAGCCATTGGAAAATTTTCTAGTTATATAATTTCTCTCCAAAACATGTACAGCGGACAAACGTATATAACATTTTGATTGATATACTCTAAATAAACCACAATTTATAAAACTCGAAAATTTTAATAAAATTTTAACGAAATTATTTTGAAAATACGCTGATCTTTTGACTCTTAATAAACGAAATACTTATTTAAGGAAATTTTAGAATATAAATACGAAATGCAATACCAAATGATTCTAAAGACGCGTTAAATAAACGACAAAAATGAAAGAGTTTAATTTCAAACTTATTAGCTCATATGTTTCGTCGAGATACGCGGCTTGAAAAACGGTATCCCGACGTATTCCGTTTGCTTCCGTTTTATTATGCCCGCATACAGTACATAATACATAGCCGTAATAGCTGGCGCGGATTCACCTGCTCTTTCGCCCGCTAATTTGTTCACACGCACTAATTGCTTCCTTCTTGATCTCCTTCGTGTCGAGCTGCTTCGCGTTGCTTCACCGAGCACGGCGTTCATACGAGGCATTACACAAGAGTGCCGTCGCCTACAAAAAGATATTCCTCGTTAAAAAAATATTAAAATTACCCCATAAGAATAATCTTTCCGTCTGGATCTTTTCACTTATTGAAAAATATCATCTCGGATATTTTAGCAAACCAGAAATCGAAGTCATTTTTGCAGTGTTCTTTTGTAAGAAATAAATTGAAATTGATAAATGGATAAAAATTAATAAATTAGTATTAAAAAATTGTAGTGACTTAAAGAAATATAATTCATATATTAAAGTCTATAATTTTAATTTCTCTTAGTTACTTTCAGACTACACAATATCTCAGAATTGTTATTTATTTCTTTTTTTTTCTATTTTTTTTGAGAATTTTCTTCTAAATGTCATTATTTGTGTTTTATCTTTCGCTAATATCACCTATTTGAACACTCTTAAAAATTAATTGATTAATTGAGATAATTATAAATCTTAATATATACGCATCGGCAATAGATCTCTTATCGATTTGCAAAAAGAACACTCTGGAAACGTAAAATCGATCGTCTAAAAATGAATGGCATTGCAGATGAGGGTGTCGACAATTATTGCGTGAAAAGTCGCGTAATAATTGATGGGGTGAAGATAACAAACGGTAGAAACGAGAGAGCAAGAACGTTTTCCGCGAACACTAAAATCGCGAAAGTGAGATAAAGAAAAACTGTCTCGATGGTTCTTCGTGGCTTGTTGGCCCCTGCGGCAGCTCGTTGGAGGAGAAATAAAACCGCGAAAAGGTAAAATTGCGAGCGTTGCGACTGATAAGTTATTCAATAAATATTTTATATTCTTTTCTCTCTTATAAATATATTACATGCCTGATTTTACAGAATCCTGAAATTAAATAAAAGAGGCACCGCTTAAATAATTCCATTAATTTTAATGCGCCACATCGAGAAGCATTAGCAATTAACGATTCCATTATAATTATTACTGTCGGCTGTAAACCGAACCGTCAATTGGTTAAAATCGAATGTTTCCGTTTTAGTTAATGGATTTCGATCGGGCGTAGGCGACTCGCGTTCATGACGCACAATTACAGCGTGAAGGCACACGCTCAAGTGTATACACCACTTAAACAAGATCAATGCGGTAGACCGCTGAAAGAGCCCCCCCGGATCGTATTGCGTTAATTGGTATTCGCATTAATTCAATCCGTTTTGCGTTTCAGAAGCCAGAACGTCGCTTGGGATAACGTAAACGCGCCTGTCGGCCAATTGGGATTGTCACGTTATGGACCGCAGGTGATGAGCGTGCTGTGTTTATGCACCTCCAGCATCCATCAGTCCACCCGTAACGTCACGCAGGCCGGCAAGATACTTCCGAGTCCGCCGTCAGACACCCTTTGCGAGCAGCGAACAACGCCCTCGCAGGAAATACCCACTGACGAGCTGGCTCTATTAGCTAAGCTGGAGGAAGCCAATAGGTGAATAATCAAGTGGCCCCCCTTCTCTCCCCTCACCTATCACTTGATACTACAGCCCAACTGCTACACCTTCGGAGTTTGCAAGGATCGAACAATTCTTGTACATTGCATGAACTGTATCTAACAAATGCATGACTGTTTTTTTCGCTTTCCAAGATTTGTAGTAAAATTGAAGATACACCTCTTGTACATATATTTGGATAGATAGCCTGGATTTCCTTTCGTTTAGAGTAGAAATGCTAAATGTTAATTTTGCTACGCATTTTGGCTTGGAAATGATGCACAGTAGGATGCAAAATAAGGCTGCACTTTTAACTCAGAAAATATGGGAAAAGACGTAAGTTTCGCTTTTCTATTTTCTTCATAAATGTATGCAGTTAATTAAAACACATCGCTTACACAATAGGCAGATTGCAAATAAAGTATATGATTTGTATAAATATACGTATATTGCTGTGTAAATCCATCGTGTTATTCTCCGCGGCAAAATCGCGCGGATAAAAGTCATAATTTGTGAATTTGTTAATTTCAGGCTGATCGAGTCCGATGCAAAGTCACTGAATTCTCTCCAGAGCAATCACAGCAGAAAGGGCTCCGATACATCCCAGGTGTCTGTGGCGTCGGGGGGCAGCGGAGGTAACGGCGATGCTGCGCCCCGACGCCACAACCCAGCCGACGGTGAAGAGAATACGTGGACTCTCTGGGGTCACATAGTGGCTGACTGGGATTATCATTGGAAGAAACGGAAAGAATTTGTTAAGGAATTGGTCCGTCAAGGAATACCTCACCATTTCAGGTAGCACGCATATGTATATTATTGAACTATGATATGTTAATATTATCTAAAGATGTGATCATTCATTAATATTATTTGCAGAAAGTTAGTATGTATTTTTTATATTTAAATGTATAATATAGATTGTATAATATTTTAGGGGCATTGTTTGGCAGTTATTAAGCGGTGCCCATGACTCTCCAGTTAAAAAGCAATTCGCCGAGTACATAAAAGCAACATCAGCCTGTGAAAGGATAATTAGAAGGGATATCGCTAGGACGTATCCCGAACATGACTTTTTCAAAGAAAAGGATGGTTTCGGTCAGGAGAGTTTGTTTAACGTTATGAAAGCGTACAGCCTACATGATCGCGAAGTAGGATACTGCCAAGGTTCAGGATTCATAGTAGGATTACTTTTAATGCAGGTAATGTATTTACTACGGGGCGTTTATTACGGGAACAATATTCCAATGACGAATTGTAAAACGGAAAAATATATGAAAGCACGAAATCATTTATAAATTTATTTTTACGAGTACAAGTGTTTATTGATGTTTTTTTCTCTACGTAAAAAGAGAAAGAGAACGTATATCCTTCACACGAATAGTTTTGTATATTATTGCAGCAAATGCCAGAAGAGGAAGCATTCGCTGTACTCGTAGCGCTAATGCAAGAGTATCGGTTGCGGGACATGTTCAAACCAAGTATGGCCGAATTAGGGGTGTGCATGTATCAATTGGAACATTTAGTTGCCGATGCACATCCCGAACTTCATGCTCACTTCACGGCCCAAGGCTTCCATACGTCGATGTATGCATCTTCTTGGTTTCTTACGCTATTTACCACAGCGCTAAGCCTTCCCCTAGCGTGCCGCATTTTTGACGTTTTTCTATCGGAGGGGATGGAGATTATCTTTAAGGTTGCGTTGGCGATGCTGCAGTTAGGCAAGGAAGATTTGCTCAGTTTGGATATGGAGGGCATGTTAAAGGTAAGATTTCATTTGAAAAATTGTGCTACTCATAAATTGTTACTCTAAATTCGAGAAATAATGGTGGGGACTTAAATTTAATTTTTTAAATATCAATATTCTTAAGCAAGAATATGGATTGTACATGTATGTGTTCGTTTTTATTTGTTTTATTTAATAGATGATATTAATAACTTTTTTTTCATGCAGTTTTTCCAAAAGCAATTGCCTGGGAAGGCTGAAAAAGATCCCGATGGCCTCATGACGCTCGCATACGGAATGAAGATCAATCCGAAAAGAATGAAAAAATTAGAGAAAGATTACACCATCTTGAAAATGAAGGAGCAAGAGGAGATGGTCGAGTTACGCAGGCTCAGAGCGGAAAACAGATTGCTCAGACAAAGAACTGAACTTCTGGAAGCGGAATCCGCCGAACTGGCGGACAGATTGGTTAGAGGTCAAGTGTCGCGTGCCGAAGAGGAGGAGACCGCTTTCATAGCTCAGAGGGAATTAGCGGCGCTTCGGCATTCGCATCTCGAGACCAGCCATCAACTCGAGCAAGCTCATGAGGAATTGAGATCGTTATCGATCCTTCTCGAGGAGAACGTGACGTCTAGACAGTCGTCACTTGACGAGATACTGGTGAAGCAGGAAGCACTGTCGCAGAAGGAGGAGATGATACAGTGTCTGCAAGAGGAATTGGTTAGAGTTAGATTACACGAAGCAGAGAACGACGCACTAATTAGAGAACTCCGAGGGAGGATACAGGAATTAGAGCAAGATAAGAAGACTCTGCGCGAATCGACGCCAGACAATTCCGTTGCTCATTTGCAAGAGGAACTTATTGCGGTTAAGCTTAGAGAGGCAGAAGCCAATTTATCTTTAAAGGTAAAATCTGTCCCTGCTTAATTTTGGCATTTTTATGAGCACATCAATATTAGATAGACTTACGTAATTATGTGTCACACAGGATTTGCGACAGAGGGTCATGGAGCTAAGTGCAGCTTGGCAGAGGCATCTACAGGAGCACCGGTCCGCTCAGTCAACGCCTGCCGCTGACTCTACGCCAAAGAAGCTGCTCTTCTGGGAGAATCGGGGCCACGAGGTGCAGAAGTTCGAGGAAGATTTAATGACGACCAGAATTCGAGAGATGGAAGCGCTGACTGAAGTCAAAGAGTTACGACTTAAAGTCATGGAGCTTGAAACTCAGGTGCAGGTGGCAACCAATCAGCTCCGTAGACAGGATGAAGGCGGGAAAGTACTTAAGGACGAGCTGGAAACTGCGTTAGCGCGGGAGAAGGATCTCGCTGCCAAGCTCAGAGAACAGCAGCACAAGTATTCCGATCTGGAATCGAAGATGAAGGACGAGGCTATGATGGCCAGGATACGCGACGCCGAGCACGCGCAGCAGGTGGCGGAACTTACGCAGAAAATATCTCTTCTCGAGTTGAAGGTTACTTTTATTTACATATTAACGAAACGTCTAGAACTGCTAAAAGAAACTTATGTAAATGTGTAACGTCTAACATTTCTTGTAGAATGAGGAGATGTATGCGGAAGGCGAACTTAGGAATAATTTAGATGACAGTGAGAAAGTGAGGGAGCTCCAAGATAAGGTCGCCGAATTAAAGGCCGAGGTATGTGGAGTTCAAAAATTCGCCTTGTCCATTGTATTTAACAAAAGCAGTATCTCGGAATATTGCAGTAAGGGGTGAACTATGTTTTATACAAAATATGTGTATATTCTTCATGTAATATAATGTACATTAGGAGCAACTCGATAATTTCATTCTATGCAGGCATAATTATATAAGCAGATCACACACAAAAATATTTTATCATTGCGCAACAGCCACTCTTCATATAGCACACAATATCTGTGATATTCTATTATATGTATTTTTGGATATTCTCACCGTATTTTTAATAGAACGTAACATTTGTTTAAATAATGAAAAGTGCTGGAATTTAATAATTTTTGACAGATTACTTCACACTACAGACGGATACTTCACACTATCCGTTATTTTTTTGGACAAATATATAATAGTAAATATTTTCACAGTTCTATTACAGCTAAACAATAATCAAAAATAATTTGAAACAATAATTTGTAAATATTTAAACTTTGCTTAATAATTTATTAAGAAATTTTTATAAATATTATTTTTATTAATTTTGTAATCATATAATTATTTAAAAAATTATACGATAAAACATTGCAGCTTTTAGAAATGATTATGATTTTAGAAACTCTCTAAATATTTTATGAAAGCCCGTCCGGAGATACAATGAAAATACCATTCTATCTTTACTATTTTTTTCTATTTTTAAAGCACTGCATTGTTATGTGTTCTTCCTTCTGATTCTGCAAAATATGTGTGATACTACGTTTTATGAGATGATTCGATTATCATGATAAATACATTACAGTATTACTTACTGTACTTTCTTATGCCATGTTAATCTCAATAAGCCAGGTATCTACTTCGTTTTAAATGTGATATATATGTTATCTAAAACTGTATAAAAAATTACATCATACATTTTTAACAAGTGTATTATATGTCAACTGAACGTTTTGACTTTTAATGTGCTACACCACATACTGCACTCATATAAATTACAAAATCGCGCCTACTGTATGCAAAAGACATTCATTCCACTTTGCTAAGTCCATAAAGATATCGTAACTCATTATCGACGTCATACACTTACAAATTGCACAGATCGCACCTCTTACTGCAATTTAACGCTAACCAACACGCTTCATAACGTCGTCGCTTCTGGTGGAGACTGCAGAGAGAAAAATATTCGTTAACTACTGTGACTAAAGCCCGTTTTGTCAGTGAATATTTTGAAAACACATTCCCTTTCTTAGCTTATTTATTTTGCTACCGCTACTCTAATAAAAAGAATAGAAATAACTAACAAATTAACTAATCTTCTTAATAATAATTGGTTTTGCGTTTTTTCGTCCAATCAATGAATGTACAGGCGTTTTTTTAAAGCAAGATCGCACGTGATTTTGTTACGCGAGAAGAGATAGTGTAGAAAAGATACAGCTGCGACAGCGATTCTTATTGCGTAAAGGTGTCGAGCGGTAACTAATGCTAACCAGAAGGGACTAATCGTTGTTGCAAAACTAACCCTCTATTGCTGTGTTATCTCTGTCTCTCCTCAGTTCCCCACGCCAATTACCAGCCCGGAGACTGAGCCTTGGCGCTGGCTCGAGTAAGTCTTTACCCATGCGTAAGCATCATTTTCTACACGTCTCCGTGTATGTGTGTGCGTGGCATGACGTTTCTTTTACTGTATATAAATCCTAACGTTGTAGCTTTGTAATTGTTGCCTATACGTTCTCCATTTAGAATTCCATTCTATTGCTTGTATTAATAGTGTTCATTTCCATAGCGAGTAAACAGGGACTCGAATTTGCAATTCATAAGTATATGATAAAGTCATTACGTATGTGCATTGTAAATGTATATCGATATAATCAGTTTCATTAGTAAAGCCCTAATTAAATTTGATCAAAGAACGAAAATTGTTTTGTAAAAAGCAGTAGATATTTTATTTGTTTAGTATGTAATTTTAGCCAAAAATTTCAATGCAGCTATTGTTGTAAATCGATATGAGTGGTACTCATCGGATACGATCAGACGAATTAAAATTTCAATGCAGCTATTGTTGTAAATCAATATGAGTGGTACTCATCGGATACGATCAGACGAATTAAATTGAAACTGAATTAAAATGTGGCTCACTTTCTGTATTGTATATGATGGTGATACGGCATGGCGTGCTCTTCCCGTTTAACTGCATGCTTCCTTAAGATTAAGTTCATTGTTTCGTTCTGATAAACATTCACGGCTGCTGCTCTTAGCTCGAAGAAGAAAAAACGCAGAGACGTGAAACAGGCGTGAAAGTGTCTGCGAAAGTATCGCTGAAGTTCACTAAATTAGAAGTATAGAGTTTTGAGTTTTTTTTTCTTCGATGCATCATTCACTTGCGTAATTTCATCTAATAATTGAATAAGAAATGAAATAATTGAACGAACTTATATCTACGCCCATGCAATAAATCTTAGTGATACAAGGATTTTATTTTATAATTTAGGAAATCAGAAAATTTCTAAAATAATTCTTTTCAATGTTTTTTAAGTTATAACTTTTAGTTATCTTTCGAAGAAAAAGAAGGAACAATTTCTGATTTGATTATTGAACTTAATGGCGGAAAATAATGACAATATAATTAATTACAGTGACATTGTAATTGTCCTGGGGAAGCAATGTATTTCTTATTAGAAAATAACAGCCGAAGTGTTTCGGAAATTTCAGATTCATTTAGACGGAATTAACATTTCTCTTAATAATCCGATCTCTCTTTTTGTAACGACAGTCGAACAAATATTTTCTTTCTCCGAAGCAGGACACGCCACGGGCTCTTTCTTTCTCCTTTCGGAGAATTATGTACTTAGAAATGCGTTTTGCATCACGCCTCTCTGTCGCAGGTCATGAGACTAGAGAGCTGGAAACAACGGTGGACGGGGCTCGGCGGGCAAACCGTGCGAAGCTTCAGCGTCGATACTGAAAGCGAATTGGACGAGCGGGATCTCAGAATTTGCTTGCAGGATCATATCAACACGACCACGCCAAACTCACCCGAGGTATAAAATTCTATGTATACCAAGACCATTAGGCAGCTAACAATACTCCGTTATCGATGCGTGCACGAACCTTTTGTTCGCCGTCGGCTTTTGCTGTAGGAAATAACGCGTACGCGCTTAGACCGTAACACGAGAGTAGCTCCGTAATAATCCCGTTTAGTTACGTGTATGTACTATTAGGCCGAATATAACAAAAAGTACGTATAGCCGTTGATTAATTATTGCTAATAACGATGACGAAACGAAACAATGAAACAGTAACGATAGATGCTTTTTTGGTAATCGAAGTAATCTCTCGATCGTAATCAGGACCTGAGATTATTGTTCTTCGAAAACATTTGGGTTGAATTTACATAACGTTCGACATGTTGTAATTTCTTCAGAGCGGTATGCAACAAAGTAATTACTGTTTCATGCATTACGGCATTTATTATTTATTGCAATATAATTTTTTATTATTATTATATTTTACAGATGACATTACACAGAGTATTATAGAGGATATGTTAACTATAGTTAACAATAGAGTATTATAGAATATAACTAACACACTTGTTTGTATTACCTAATAATATCGTAATAGTGATCTACGTTTGAAAGACATTTATAACCGGACTACAAAATCTGAAAGATGCAAATTTGCATTTGATTGTTTCCGTTAAACCAATTTCATTCCACAATTGCAGAGAGTGCTTTGTATTAACTGTTCCTTAATTATGTATATGTTGCATATACTATGTATATTTCGCATCTTATTAAATTGCGAATTCGAATTTTAATAATTTATTTCTTCACATTGGCAGAGCTAATTTGAATCACAAAATTTTTAATCGAATCGCGTTATCTCTTGGAAAGATATATTTTCTTAGTAACATTGATAATTCTTCGAGGATTTTCAAAAAAATCACCATGCATTCCAATTTTCGCCTAATTTCTTATCTCATTGTCTTAAAAAAGAACAATTATCAATAAGTAATTAACAATTATCAATTTTAAAAATTAATCTCTATTTCTTTTACTATCTGCATTTTTGCAATGCAAATATAGATTTTTGTAGAAAATCTATATCTTATAATAAATACAGGACATAATGTACAATATGTGAATATATCTCATAATATTTGAAATATGAATTTTCTTGTACTAAATTTTCTTGTCTAAAAGATCCGGACTGTCTTTCCTGACTTTTCGAAAACTTGATTACGATCCGTAGATTATACGAAGATCGTATAGACTTTCCGTAACACGCAACTTTTTATACGCATGATATACTCTGTGTATTTTTTGTAATTCATACCAAATGTAATCGCATTTAAGAAGTTATATATTTAATGCCGGGAAAAAAAAACTGCATTGAATATATAAGTGGGGACAGTAACACTGTGTATCACCGTTTTTTATAAAATATGTATTATATACATATATGTATTTATATATGTATTTATATATTATATACATATATGTGTGTGTATGTGTGTGTGTATATGTGTGTACGTATGCGTGCGTCTGTGTGTATGCGTGTGCGTGTATGTGTGTGTATGTCGCGAGGAACCGCATAACGATAATCATGCAACACACATACACTGCATTACTCAAATCGAAAAAAAAAAAAAATTTATCTAAAGTTTAAGATACACATTATATTCTCAAACAGGAGGGTATATCGAATTCTTATTATTGTTGTCGTATATATATGTATATTATTTGTAACATACTTGACGAATTTCTTAAAAAAGAAAAAAAAATCAGATGGCGTAAGATTAATTTTTATTATGGGTAATATGCAATTGGCGCACACAGCACGAGATGTGTGACGTATAATTAGTTGACGATCAAACTTTACGAGGGATTGTAAAATCGCGACAAATCGTGACCGTTAGTCACCCCCCTCCCGCATCACCCCGCGTAGGGGAAAACGCGAGATTCGTCTTTCTCAATCGATTTAACGATTACAGATTGTTGAAATTGAAACCGGACGAGAACAATCGGAAGTACTTGTAAAAATTAGCACCCGAGCATAACTCGTTCCTTTACCGTGACTTGGATAATTACCTCCAACGTAAGTATTCGCGTTTTCTTGGCTACTTTCTTTCGCAGCGAGCGAGTCACCTTAGCCTACTTGCAACAGCGTATCTTCTCTTCGCTTTGTGGCCTAAATCGTTACGTCCCATTCCTTTGTTGCGTCAAATAACCGGCATTGTTTTAACCGTGTCGCGGCACGCCGTTAAATCCGTGTATTAACGCGGTGCGAACCGCGGAGTCACTTTCCTCCCGATGTAGGGAGACCCTCTTCGCTTTTCACGCATGCATGTGTGCAAATTAGCATTGAGCGGACCGTTAAAACGAAGTTACGACGACGGCAAAGGAAGCGCTGTTATTAGTATTTTTTTGCAATTGTGCGCATTTACGGGCAATAATCCTTTTTCATTTCGCGCGAAAGCGAAATCGGTGAATTCTCGATGCGCGGATTTAAAGACGCAAAGGAAGCAGGTATATACCGAAATCGATATTCAATTAAGAGGCGAACGAAGGAAACTGTGGGAAACGCGAATGACATTGACTGTTCACGACGTGTCGAGCGGTGTATTTATTTGTAAGTAGCACGACGGAAGAATAAATGTGCAAGACCGAAGAGAAAGAGAGTTTGTATTTATATATATACTTTGGCGTTTGTATTTATATACTTCTGAATTTAGCACACGAATATTTACACACAGCGGTTCTTTTCCCGAAATTCTGTTGCTGCACCGTCAAAATTGCGCTATGTATTAAGAATCACCTATGCTGTTACACTGCTGCTATAGAGAGTCGGCTTTCAATCACCGCGGAATTCTTGGCGTCGTAGAATAACGGCGGTGAATTACGACGTGCGAATCGCGTCCTAGTATCATAATATACCTATCTGTAGTTTCTGCGTCATTGAATCTGTGTATATAGACTGTCCTAGACCTGCCGAGCTGTCTTTCAGCCTTCCCCCTCCCCCCTCCCCCCAACCCTGAACGGCCGAGAGTCATTAATTAAATCGGCGACTGTTTCGACGTTATAGCCTCAATATAATTGTGAAATTATCTGAAGAGCGAAATTGTGTGCGTATTAAAGGGCGCGCTTAAGCGAATTAAGCTCCGTAAGCGTTAATCGATAATGAAATTGTTATTGTTCGGCAAGCTCGAAGCGAGTATCTGACATTAATTTATCTTCTTATCATTTTGAAGCTTTTACAATGACTGTGATACGATCAGAAACGCCGCGTCGAAACGCCGCGGCGGGCTTCAATCGTCAAATTTACGCCAAAAAGAAAAAAAAAAGAACGGTCGTTATTAGAATTTATTGAAATATTGCAAACAAGGCAGCAGGGCTCGCTAGGTCGAGAACACCGTGTACACGATACGAATTCATTTCATTTAATTGAATTATTGATCGTGCGCGAATAAAAGAGAGCGAAGTAATAAATAAATCAACAACTACGATTGCATTCAACGGTATCAATAAATTAAATTACACATTGCACCATGGTTGTTTCCGAAAGTAAATCACTATTATTATCCATCGTGCGTTTCCCGAGAGCAAACTTCCCTCGAGATATCCCTTGAATTTAAATTTTTAATTATATCCGAAATCGTCGTTAGCGAATCTTAACGAGAGTTAAATTTATTTTCTTTTTAGATTTTATTTTTTTTTTTATATACATATTTCAACAGAGCCATATATTATTGTGTACGTTTTGGCTTGCGAGACACGTGCTCGCAATCCGTACGCCGAGATTTCGTACGTCACCACCATTTGTTTTATCGGTCGTTCGCGAGGAGCGAACGGTATAAGCGTCGGGAGTTTTGCAGTGCGTCGCGCCGACGACATTAATAATTTAACGCGCGGTTTTTTTTTTCCTGCGGAAAACCAGCGCGTTCGATCGCGCGGCGTGCGCCATCGCGTCGCGAGCCGAGCCAAGATGTGTCGTGCGTTCTTCGTTCTTATTTGCGACGACGACGGCGGCGACGGTGGCGGCCACGACGACGAAAGGTCACCGAGGAGACGGTTTGACGGTCTCCCGAGCTGTGGCGAACGCGATCGATTAATCTGCCCGCGGATCGATTTGCCATCGACAGCATTCCGCAGTTTCTCTCAGCGCGATGCGATTGCCGCCGAGAGAAGGAAGGCGTAGAGAGAAAGAGAGCAACATTTTTTTTACAGCAGAATTATCAGATGGCTGTAATTTTTTTTTCAAATTTATTTACAATTTCCAAGATTTTTGTTGGAATATGTAAACGATTGAATCGATTATTTTACTTCTTTCCTTGATCGCTTAAAAAAATATATATGTATAGTATAAAATACTTTTTCGTTGCCATTTATAAGATAGCCATTATTTAATTAATATAGCACAGATATTTTTTGTAGATACTTATTTGTATCTTAACAGACATATCAGTCACATGTTCAATAGTTGGTACCATATAATGCCATGTGTCTTTTAATGTAAGACATACTTTGTCGAAGAAAAATAAACAATGAAATGTTTCAAAATATCTTTGCATAACATATAAACAAGCGGAAACAGTAGAACTTCAATGAGCGTTGCGCGACACAGGACGATTGCCGATAAGTACATACCTTTATGTAAACATTGCTGTATTGTGGAGATTGCATCACCACAAATCTAACTAATCTCACAAATCTAAAAGCGAGAATTTCGCATCGGCATAATAGAATTCGCGGAGAAACACACACATTTAAATACCCGCGTGTCTGCAGCTACAACTGTACACTTGACAAAAACTGAAAACATACAGAGATATATAGACATACATAGGATAGATTGATTAGCGCAGATAAGAAAACGAAAAGACTATAATGATTCTCAGAATTACTAAATTGCATTTTACTCTTGTTCACGTCAGTTCTTAAGCAATGCAGTCGCATATACGTACACGGCATACTTAAATAGCAGAAATAAGTATAGACTGATCATCGGTAGTTTCAGTGTTAATCGAATGTGTGTGTTTTTTTTCCTCTTTCGCATCGCACGCGAGAATAATGCGCCGTACGTGTACGCGCGTTCGTGACCGGGCTCCAATAAACGAAATAATCCATATCCGATGCGCCCGTTGCGTGACAACGTGCGAAAGCCGCGCGGCCGATCGGACACACGTCGCGCGCGTATATCGGTGCCCGGCCGCGCTACGCGATATTCCCTCAATAGCGTACGTACGTATAGGTACGTACCAGCGACAACGATATAATGCTCCTCGTAATCGGGAGAGAAGTAGCGCGTGCGAATGGTACATATTTTCCGAATGAGTCATCGCCCACAAGCCCCATCCGCGCGCGCCCGCGCCCGCAGATCCCGCAAGGCCCGCTGCCGGCCGCGCGGTCCGCGCGAAGGGTCGATTAATTGGATCGAACGAGAAAAACGATATTCTATTTTTAATCCGCGTGGAGGACCGACGCAGCCAGAGGCACTCCTCTGTCGCAGGCGCTCCGTAAAAACGCCACGTGTTTCGTCCGCTTCCTCCTTCGCGCGCAATGACGACAATTATCGCAATTATTTGTTGGCGCCTGATGGGTGTGCACACTTAAACGTGTGCGTGTCGCGCATGTCGGTGTAATTATTTCTCTTTTTTTTTTAATAGGAAAAAAAACAAATTACGTTGACTCGTAATTCTTCTTTCGCGGAAAGTCGCGAAGCGGCAGAAGCGATTTTTCTTTTCATATATACGAAAAAAATATTTGGTATACGTTTGGCACACTGAGAATTTCAATTCGCGGCGCTCCAATTGGATGAATAAAAAAAACGAATCTAAAAAGGTTAACCGATATTTAAGGGAATTTTATCGGCTTGTCCGATAAAACGTGTTAAACCAGCTTATCGCGGTAAAAGTATGTGTTTTCTTTCGAAAAGCTTGATTCATGGTGTTTTTTACTTTTTATTATACGATGGAAACGTGATTTAAAGCAAAAGTATTCAAGGAATTATCTCCTGTCTCAATTTTCCAGTTTTCTTGTGTATATACATTTTGTTTCTCCTTTTTCAGCGATACTTTCTCTCTCTCTCTTTTTCTCTCCTTCTCCCTCTCGCGAGGGATTTTATTCAGAAGATTATCTCTGGGTGTCCTTTCATTTCTGGTTACGCAATCTAAACGTGTGTATCGTTCACAACGCGGCCGGCGATAAATCCGTAAAGTGGCTTCGTTAAGCGCAATAAACTCATCTCGATCATCACACATTTAACTACCGATGCGAGTGTCCAGATTCAATAACTCATGGTTTATATACGCTTGTTTCAGGATTAAATAAATGAATACGATAACATTCCCCGTCATTATAACACGTCGTATTTATCATATAGAATTCCAAGATAAATTTTAATACCGTTCGTCGAAACACGAACGTGATAGGGTAGTTTCGGTTTTTATTATCCGTTACGTCGGTTTATACGCAGCAAAATACGATTTTCGATTAATTCTATACTGCAATGATTAATTAAGATATAATCTTATAAAATTATTGCACACGTATAATTATTATGTTTTTTCTTCACTATAATTTGCTATGCTGTATATACATATATTAATTCAATGCGCAAGTTTTGCATGCTTAAAGATCTGAACGATTAATAATTATATTTTAAATTATTTCATATTTTAATTAATTTGAGTTAAAAAAATTTTTTTTTACTTTGTACAAAGCGATTGACGCCATAGAGAAAAATAAATACGATAAATACTCTTGATATCAATATCAATCGTCATGCTTCTGTTATATCGGGTCTCTTATTTTTTAATCTAAGAAATTATCGCGACGGAGGGGAGGAAGGGGGACCACGTTGAAATCGCGACTGTTAACGGGCCGGGCTTCCGAGGGCGGTATATTTTCAATAACGCCGGGTTGAAATAGGTTAAACGGTTATTCAACGTGTAAAAGAGACAGAGGCTCGCGTAGGGTGTAGAGTTCGTAAAAAAAACTCCTGGACGGTGAATAATGCACAAACGCATCGTAAGATTTTCCAGGTGGGTGCGTTTTCTGATAACACGTTTCACCCAGATCGATATCGTTTCTTCTCGCGCCACCGACACTACCGGGATACCGGTGGGGGGGAGGGGGAGAGGAGAGGGGGAGAGCGAAGCGAGGGGGAAGCGGAGAGAGAAGCGGAGGGTGCACCCTTAAAGCCCCATTTTAGACGGATCGATTTTCAAGTGTTGTCGCACGAGAGAGAGAGAGAGAGAGAGAGAGAGAGAGAAAGAGAGAGAGGCTCGTATGCAACTCGCGACTCGTTTTAATTTCTTGCCATATGGCATTGCGACCATAGAATTTCCACGCCGCTTGTTCGCTCGCTGTGGATATATTAATCTTTTTCACGTTCATATATCCTTTTGTAACTATCTATGTACCCTATCAATTTAATATTGCGTATTGCAAATAGACGTTGTGTAGTTCCATTTTCAAACGGCAAAAGAGAGCGGCTGCACGAAGCCGAAGTGCGCATCGTGAATACTATAAGGTGCGCGAAATTAATTATTAACAATGTAGACAATTTTGTATATATAGAAATACTCTATGACGATATAATAAGTCCGGGCTCTCGCGATAACGCTAAATGACTTTGTGACACCGGGCATTTCTTTGTCTCATTTGATTACTCAGGACAGGATGTTACTCTCTGTTACTTCCAGGCATCGATAAGATATCTATGGATCGCACTATGAAAATATAAGTCACTACCCCCTCGCCGATGACTTGCCCGATTAGAAATGGAAATTCTACCTCACAAAGTTGGAATATTATACCGTATACAGAAAATATACCAGCTGCTAAATATGCTATTTATCCGTATGGAAAAAAATTCTTCGGGCAGCAAAGTATAGTCTCTCTCTATAAATATTCTTCAACTGTCGATACGGAAACGTCGATAAGTAATTATATTCTTCCCTTTCGTATTTTGCTTTCTGTTTGTTTCCCCTCCCCCTACCCCTCCCTCCGACGTTGCGAAAATTAATATCGGACGGGGTCGAGATTAACTGCGCTAGCAGCAGTCTCCGTTTAAAAACAGCACTGTCTCTTTAACCGGTCACTAACCGTCGCGCGAGTTTTATCTGGAATTTTCGTTATTCCAGAAAATCCATTCCCTCCCTTCCTCTCTCCCGCCGTTCTCTCCCCCTCAGTCTCCTCCTCTTTCACCCCACCCCCCTCTCAATAATATTCCGCATCTGGTTGCAACAATGGCTCGATTGTGCGCGGTTCGATATATAACGTCGTCGCCCAGAGGCAACTGGTTAATTATCCGACGTCACAGTTACCCCGAATCGTCACTCATACATATACATATACATATACTTATATCGATCCCTTTTCTCGTCCCGTGGACGGCGATCGCGCGCCCCGACGGGCCCCCGAAAACACGTGCGGGTGGAAAAATAATATGCACGCGTATATTCGCGCGCCTGATGGTCCCTCTCGCTTTCAGCGAGACGGAAGACGAGAGATCGGCGAAGACGAGAGCCGCGGGGAGGCGCACGTATGGTATACACGCTCCGCGCCGCGCGTCCCGGGCTTTTCTTCACCTGGTTTTCACGAGTCGTTAACCCAGCGTTGACGAAATTCCCCGCGATATTCGACGATATGCCCCTCCCCCGCCCTCCCGGCCGCCCGTCCGTAACGACGTTTTCGGGAAAAGAGAAACGCGCGCTTCCCACGCGAATTAACGCCGCTCCGCCGTTTTTCCGGCGGCGGCGTGTCGAAAAAAAAAGGAAGAAAAAAAAAGAGACGCGCGTAAAATTCTCCGCAGACGAGGGGGCCGGCCTCGTCGCGCGTATAGCAAGACCGCAAAGGGTTTTAAACGTCCCATCGGAAGGGTGTCGCGCACCTATCGATCGCGCGCACGTCGTCGCGTCCACCGCGTCTCCCAGTCTATCGATAATTCCGAGGCGAAGCGGCGCGCCGCGCACGAGGGTGTAATTCCAATCTCTCTCTCTATAGGCTTGACAATCTCGAAACGGTATCCCAGCTGATGAAATTCCGGCCAGAGAAATAGAAAGAGAAGAATGAGATAGATGGGGACAGACAGATCCGCGGAGAGGACAAGAAAGAGAGAGAGAGAGCACGAGATGAGAGCATCGGACGTAGACCGGGCCGAGCTTGCGCTCCGCGAATGTCGCGCAAGTTCCGCGGCAAGTAGTTTTCCAAAGTGGAGTCCATCGGCCGCGGAGAGAGAGAGCGAGAGAGAGAGAGAGAGTAGAGAAAAAGTAACACCCGCGTGAAAAGGGGTTCGTTTGCGTGTTGCGCCGCTTGACACACGCGCGGCGTTGCCGCGTTTCCGCGCGTGCAGGCGCGGACAAGCAAGCGGGCCGCGCACGCGTTGCATCGGCGCGGCGCGGCGCGGCCCCCGGGGACGCGCAAGCGATGGCACCGATCCGATTTTCGACTCTCCGTCCCGACGCACTCTCGGGATTCTCGGGAACGATCCTCCGAGCCTCCCGGTCGATAGGACGATGGACCCAGGAGCGCGATAAGGGATCCTCGGTGCCACGTACGGGAGTCGCGGCCGCGGTGACCGTCTCTGCCTCTGACCGATTTCGCGCACGTATATATACGCTTCATTCGACGCGCGCGTAAAACGAGGGAAACTTGACGCGTTCTCGCTGCGAGAGAGGTGAGCCGAATTTTATCACGTTTTGTCGAACAAAGCGGCCGGTCTACCTCCTGCTCCCCCCCTTTCTCTTTCTCTCACTTTTCCGCTCCGTTTCTAAATGCTATTTCAGGCAATGAAGGCAGTAGAGTCACGGCATGCTGTCACGCTCAAAAGCGATTCTCTTTCTCAAAAAAAAAAGAAGGAAATTATAATAAAATTCAAATCATCGAAGCAGCCAAAAGTTGACGTCGCATCGCGGACGTTAAAGAGAAGTTAACGATGGTTAAAATTCAACAGTATGTATATCCCTCATCTCGTCTCTCGACATATTTGTCAGGCACGTCTCTTTCGCTTAATACGCCCGCCCTGCGTGGGTACCCCTTAGAAACAGCCCTGCGCGCGCCCGCGGGTCCCTTCCCAAGCGGAAGGGTATATCGATGCCCTTTCGGCCCTGCTCGAAGCCATCGCTAACCGCTGCCGCACAGCGGCGATGGCGGCGGCGTTGCCGCGACTTTCCTGGAGTTCACTACATGGCACGGGCGGCACGGTGGGGAAAGGGAGAGAAGACGTACAACGCGCGCGCGCGCGTGCGCGCTCCTTCTCTCCCTTTGCGTCCGTCTCTGTCGCGCGCATGCGGGCAGGGGTGGCCGACCAATTAAATATGTCGACCACGGCGGGGTGTGGCGCTTGCGCATGCGCGGCGGTGGGCCGCCGCCGCGCGGCGGACGGCCGGGGGAGTGCGGGAGAGCGGGACCGACCGAGCGGGCGGCGAAGAAGGAAGGAACCGGCCGGCGAGCAGAACGAGGCGACGAGTGCTTGGCGTACCGGGCGTACGGTTTGTGTGGTGCGCGCTACCGTCGAGACAGGCTCGGAGACCCCGGAGAGAGAGAGAGAGAGAGAAAGAGAGTGCACGCGCGATCGAGAAGCGGCCAGCGGCGCATCTCAGAGTCGAGGGAGGATATAAGACCACGAGCTTGAGAGTCGAAAGGAGCGGTCGTAACCCCGCGCGAGCGACTCAACCCCAGCCGGTGAAAGGGGACGGTGGACGAGGAGTTTCTTTGGAGACGCGCGCAGCGTTATAGGCGAAAATGACGATGGCAACCGAGACAGAGAACAACGGGCCCGAGAGCAAGGAGATCAAGGACGTGAAGGAGATGAAGGAGGCGCTTAAGGACGACGCGCCGCCGGACAACAAGCAGGAGGAGAAGGACGCGGCGGCGAAGAAGGACGAGACGGCCGGGAAGAAGGAGGACGACGCCGCCGCGGCCGCGGCCGGCGCGGCGACCGCGGCGCCGGCGAAGGCCAGCACTGTGCACCATCCCGACTACGAGAAGGATGTTGTTTATCTGTATCAGTTCCCGCGGACGCCGCTGCTGCCATCCCTGTCCCCGTACGGTCTCAAGGTGGAGACGTGGTTGCGGTTGAACGGCATCAAGTACGAGGTGAGTGTCGCCGAGAGCATCTTTTCCCCCCTCCCTCCATCTCTCTCACTCTCTTTCATTCTCTCTTTCCCGACTGCACGACGGCCAAATCGCCGTCCCCTACGCATTTTCTTTCTTCTTACGTGCGTGTCTGTCCGTTCGTTCGCCCGGCCGCCGGTCCGTGTGTGTGCCCGGTGTGCGAGGGAGGATCGATTGCCTTTATCCTACTCGCGTCGACCGAGCGCCGGTCTCTCCGACTGTGTCGCTTCTTTCTCTCTCTCGCTCTCTCTCTCTTTCTCTCTTCCCTACCGGGCGATGCGACGGAAACCCGCGCGCGCACTCGATCGTCCCTCAGAATCCAGAGATTTTCGAGATGTGCGATGCCGTACACGAAGTTACGCTTCTTCTCCCTTCGAAGGGGGAAGAAACGAAATCCTTTCCCCGCGAGATCTCGCGATGCAGGAGTAAAATCGGGCAGGGGTATTTCGCGGATTCGCAATTCCGGAAAAATTGAAAAATGGTCCATTTTCTTGCAGCGGCGAAGACCAGTCGATGTCGATGTGGCCAAGCCCGCTTGCGCGCCCGCTTCGTCGCGTCTCACGATTAAAAAAACGAGCAGGGATCGCCCTCGCGCAGGCACCGTCATCGGCGCGATCATCACGGTCCGAGTAATCGAGAGAGCGATTTAAATCCCCCCTCCCTCCCCCTCCCCCGTCCACGACCGTCGCGCAATCGGCGACATGGCGTCGCGATTTAATCCGCGCGGCTGGTATAATGTCGGCCGGTCGGAGCACTCGCGCGGCGAGTCCGGGGGACGCTCTGCGACGCACTCGACCCCCGGGGGGATGATGATTTTACGCCGTTCTCCGGGAGTTGTGCCCCGAGATGCCAACGAACGCGCGCGCGGTATTTCGCGTTTGGGGGAAATCTGCAGGGGTAGATGAAGGGAATGCGAAACGTATACGTTCGCGCTCGCGCGTCCCGCGATCTTTTTCGCCCCTGGAGGAGGGCCTGTTTACGCGGCCGCGAATTATAGTCGTCGAAGTCAATTCGGCGGGAGTTCACTCGGAGACGACGTGACGTCCGTAAACTGCGTCACGTAAGTCAATTTTGCGAGTAAAGCGGTTGTGAAAGGAGAAGCTCCGTCGCGAGAAATTGCAGCGACTTTTATATACTATACTTAGCGACTCCCCTTCGATTTCGTTCTCACTGGACTGTTGTCGTATATTCTTCCAGTCGAGGTAATCTAGCTCGTCGTATATACGTGCTCGAGTGCGCATCGCAACGTCGTGAGCGTTAATTATCTTGCTGCGACGTACGATAAAAATGCACGCATAAAGACGGCCTTCGCGCGGACCGCTTCAAAATGGCGGCCGCTGTCAACTTTCGGTGCGGTGCCTCCGACCTAGGCGTAGACCCTGCGGCGGAAAAGCAAGAGAGAATTTAGTTCGGTTTAAATTCTCATCGTCATTACGGGAGCTGCAATTAAAAAATTTTTTAAATTGTGATTCCGACCAGGAGAAAAACACTCTGTGTTTAACGAAACTTTGCACAAATTATGGATTATACTCTCTAACGAGGTTCCGCTATACTGAAACGAAAATTTTGTTTAAAGTACAAATGAAAATTTGCAATTCCATTCCCGTCACGCGTCCGTGTTTCTGGACCGTATTAAAGATCGGGACGATGAAAAAAAAAACGTAATATTAACATCCTCAATGCTTGCGCAAATATTCGCTTGTTATGCTTCTTGCGAGTATTAAGTTTCAACCACGCTTGAGAGAGTCTCGGAGATGCTTTTAATCGCGTGGCGTGTTTTTACTCCCCGAGGAGATATCCCGGCATCCGATTTAATTGATCTCTCTATATCCAGCCTACGCTTCTACGCGTCCGCGGTCGTTTGCAGAGAGAGCGATAGAGAGAAAGAGAGAGAGAGAGAGAGAAAAAAAAATAGGCAAATAAGCATGCCGAGATGGATTCTCATTTTTAATCGGGGGGTGAGGAGGACGGGATTAATTGGCGGGAATTCGACGCGGTGATTCCGGAGTAACGTCTGTTTGCGGTATGTCCGTTGCCGTCGTGAGAGAGGGAGAGAGAGAGAGAGAGAGACGCGGTAAAGCGATCGGCCGTTTCTTTCCGCTGCGCGATTTTATTGATATAGAAAGCGGGGCATCCCGCTTCCGAGAGACGAGGTAAGAAAACGATCTTATGGACGAAAGTACGTAGTCTATATATTCCGCCGGAATATCGTTGCGGTCGCGGAATTGTTCACGTTTCCGAGAAACGCGCAGTGTGCCGATAATCGCGGCACGCCGAAGTCGTCGGGCTTGTACCGTCAGGTGTCCCCCCTCCCTCCACCTCCCCCTCGCTGTCGATCATCGTGTCTCGCCGATTCGAAGAGACGGATATGGAGTATCCGCGAATTTTCTTCCTCTCTCGCCTTCTTCGCGCCCAATCAATCGTCGCGAAAATCGATTGTTCGCTCGCGACTCATTGTCGCCGTCGACGACGGGGCGACGCTTTCTCGCGCGAAAGTTGGAATTCTTCCCAGCGGGAGACAGAGGAGCGTAGGAACCCTCCCTCGCTCCCGGCACGTCTAATTATCGCGATATTCATTAGGACGATATTGTGAGCGAAAATCATCGCTAATGATCGGCATAATGGCCAATTGAGAATTCGTTCGCCGCTTCGCTTTTGTATCTTCATTGTCGGTCGCTGTGCGGTCGTTAGCTCGCAGGAGCGGCGGGTTAACGGGCTTCTCTTTCTCTCTCTCACATTTTCATTATCGCAGCGCGGGCTCTTGTAACACATACGGAACGCTTCCAGCCGCGAGAATCCAGCCGATGGCGACGATGGTGAATTCGAAACCTAAGTATAACGTGTCTCACATTGAAGACCGACGCGTATAGAAACCAGGCCTCGTCTGTACGAAACTGCGGCGAAACTCGAAACGAATTTTCTCTTCTCGCGATATTGAGCAAGCAGGCTATATAGGCTAGAAGTACCGATTCATGTACACCGAAGGTATCGTGAATATTTGTACGTATATATATATATTTTTTTTTTTACCGCGAATTCTTCCAACGATTCGCTTGAAATTTTCCTCGACGGAGAAAATTATGACTGTCGTTTTTTATAATTATCTTCTCTTAACTGTATATATCCTAGCAATTAATCCTCGAATTAAAGCTTAATTAGAGCGTATCATCCGGAACGCGCGGTGAGATTAAAATATTACGAAGATTTCCTTCGTCATCTCGTAAATCAAACGGATACTCCGCTGTACTTAGAAGTAAGTACTTTGCGTTGAGAGAGAGAAAGAGAGAGAGAAGTAAAATCCATCCTGAACTGACACCGGGCATGAGTCTGTGCATATATATAAAACCGTTCTCGCGTACAATCGCGTCGTTGCGGGGATAAAGTTTTCCGTAGCTGTGACTCCGCGCAGAATTCCGCGCCGGTGATCCCTAGCCTGGTTTATCGACCCTCGTGACACATTTGTCTTCCTTCTACGTTGTCGCTCTTGCTCACCCCTACGAGTCGTTACCCCGACATCTGTTGAACATAACGCCGTTTCTTCGCGAGTAGGGAGCGCGCGGACGAGGAGGATTTGCCGTTCGCGGCGACTAGGCTGTGCTAAACCGAGGAATATCGCTGCTCGTACCGCTCGCGAGGAAAGATCTCTCAACGAAGTTTTAGAACGAGCTTCAAAGAAACGTGCCTAATCTAATCTAGGTCTATTGCCGGTGATATTAAGTTACATCAGAGATCGGTTTTCTAGGGTAGAAAAGCTTAGCTTCGCATCTTAGTGGCCCATCGATATAACAGTGGTTTATTCCGAGACACTCGAATTCATTTAAAGTCTTAAATGAAATTTTGAATCGAGGTTCAAAAAGATGTGTCCCTATAATCTAATCTAGCTCAATTGACGGTAATGTCGCGTCACATTAGAGATCGATCTCTAGAAAACTTTGACAACTTCCATCAATACGCGTTTCATTTCGCGATCGACCCCGTCGTATCTAATCGGAACAAAGGATTCGTTCAACGCTAAAATCATGGTTAATGGCTGCCATCATTGATACTTCCGATACTTCGAGACGTATCAGTTGCACAGATTATTTATGGTCCCCTATAAATAGCGCAGAGTTTGTGCCGATATTAGAAGACTATTACTCATTTTAACATAATGAGAACGAAGATAATTGCACGGCAATGTGTAATTAGTCGTTGCGTTTTGCCTTCGAGGAAAGCCAATTAGATAAAATATATTTCTTCTTAACTCCATTAATTTCCGTGCGATATCTTCGATGTATTTTTGACGCACAATTCTCTGTAGCTCTAGAAACGTGACAAAAGCCCGTTATTTGCACAGTTTTGTTATCTCTTTGCAGTTCTGACTTTAGTTTAACTCGCCCCTTGAATCGCTCATTTAAAAGCCACTGTCGTTTCTCTTGAAAACTTTTCATTTTCGTTCGATTTTCAATATAGAGATAGGAATGAAAATATATTAAGTAAATTTTATAAGTTAAATTTTTTCTATGTGTGTATATATATAATTTTTTTTAAACGCGCATTTAGCGTCCCAAGAATTATATCGCAGTTCTCTCCACGTCAGTTAATTATTTCGCTCTTCAATCAATACAGTCACGGCACCATAACTGCGTGCCGCGAAGTGGCAGCTGTCTTTGCCGTATAATATCGTGCCATGAGATATCATTCTCGTCGCATTTTCCCAATGAATGCCCGTGCCGATCGCGAAATGGTTAGAATTGGAAGGAAAGAGGTCACAGGTAATACAGAGGAAGTTTCCTATTGAACCTAATCATTACCAAGATAGCTACAAATAACGGGTGGAATGGACGCGGAGATCAATTGGTCGGGCTGTGGCCAATTTCGGACATGCTAACGGGTTATCGCGCGTCCTAACGGGCACACGTCGCGTTTTTCGAGAAATGCCCTTTCCTCGCGCGTTTCTTCGATTCCGCTTCGCGTCATCGACATCTCGTAACTGGAACGGC